GTAAAACTGCTTTTGAGGAGTATGTAGTCTTTTAAACGCAAATATTTTCTTTTGTTAAATATCAGAAAAGAAGAAAAATGAAAACAAGATGAGCCACAGGCAAAATCCTTTCTAAATATCACAGAAAATAATTTTCTGGAGGCGGCCGGGTGGTGCAGTGGGTAAGTGTGCATGTTCTGCTTCCCGGCGGCCCGGGGTTCGCTGGTTCTGATCCCAGGAGCAGACATAGCACCAGTTGGCATGCCGTGCTGTGGTAGGCGTCCCACGTATAAAGTAGAGGAAAATGGGCATGGATGTTAGCTCAGGGCCAGTCTTCCTCAGCAAAAAGAGGAGGATTGGCAGCAGTTAACTCAGGGCTAATCTTCCTCAAAAAAAAAAAGCAATTACATATAACTACTTTTTGGTATTATTTACTTTGAAGGATGGCTAGTTTATTCTGTTGGAATTTTACTGTTATATAACATAGATAAATCTGCATTTGTTTTGAAGACTGTGTACTAAATTTAATTTACTGAATTAAATTCTCACGTGTATGATGATGTGCCGCTGTGTATAAGCATAAGTTTTTATTCTAAGATGAGGCAAAAAGATCTTATTCTGCTTGGTTGGCTGATAGGGAGAACAGAAATAATCCCATTACTTACTAAAAAAGAAAACTGGAAGAATTTCAAGTATTTTAGTTTTCTGTTAAGTTTAGATGGGAAGCTAGACCTCTCAGTTGGGCTTTTCCTCATGCTCAGTGAGTGTATGCATTAATAACACTTAGCTTGATTTTGATTGAATTTCCTGTAAGGACTCAGTTAAGGACAGTTAATTACTGTTGTTTATGTTGAATACAGCATATTACTTAGGAGGCTGCCAGTGCCAGATGCAAGAATCTGTTGGCATTTGGATTCATGGTTTTTCTTAACTGTCAAAGCTAGAGTAAAAATTTCACTATTTTTCGTAGTTTTTCCAGTTAAAATGACACAAATTCTTAGATAAAGAATGACAGAGTGCTCTTTCTCCTATGCCATGTTGCCTACTTCTTGATCTTCCTCTTTTGTGCATTGCGTGTTTTTAGGCCGTCTCTGACATTTGACGTTAGGTGACTCCTTGAAAGACTCCCTGAGAGGAAACTCTTTCCTTGGCTTCAGTGCTCCCACGCTCTCCGGGTTTCTCCTCTCCTCCTCTGGACAGTCCTTCACGATCTCTTGCTTTATTCCTTCTTTAAATGTGAGTCTTCTTTATGGTCCTATCCTAGGCCTTCTTCTGAATCTATATATGATTGCTAAGCAATCTCAGCCACCCCACAGCTTCAGTTTCCCTGTGAATGCTGATAGTTTTTTTATTTCATTGAGGTACAATTGACGTACAATGAGCTGCCTAAATTTGAAGTGTACAGTTTGACCAGTTTTGACATATGTATGTACCCATGAAACCGTCACTACAATCAAGATATTAAACATATCCATCACCCCCAGAAGTTTACCCGTGCTGCTCTGTAATTTCTCCCCCCATCCCAAGGCAACTACTGATCCGCTTTCTGTCATAATAGATTACTTGGCATTTTCTGGAATTTTATATAAACATGTCATACAGTATCTACTCTTCTTTAAATCTGGCTGGCTTCATTCAGCATAGTTGTGTTGCCTGTATAAGCTTTGTTTAGATTTGTTCCCTCCAATCCTTCTGGATGGTTCTCTCCCCAGCCATGGGGTGCTTCCTCATGTGCCATGCACTGGTCACTACTTCGCTTAAATCTAAAGAGGGGACCCTTTCAGATCTCTGGAGATCTCTTTGCAGGCCTCTGCTCTTCAGAATTCTGCCCTGCAAATTCTAGCCACTTTGGCCTTCCTGGACTCCCGTTTCATTTTCTTCAATTCAGGGAGATTGCTGGGCTCTGCCCAGGTTCTTCCTTACTGTGCTGTAGGCTTGAAACTCTCTCTAGGCAATAATGTAGAGTTCATCTTGTTAGTTTTCTGTCTCTCAGGGATCCTTATTATGCACTGCCTTGTGTTCATTGTCTGAAAACCGTTATTTCTTGTATTTGATCTATTTTTTGTTGTTTCAGGCAGGAAGGTAAATCTGGTCCCTATTACTCCAAGTTGGCCAGAAGTGGATGTCATTACTGTTAACTTATGAATCTGTATTTCTAGTGCATATAGTGCTCAGATTCATCTGCTTCTTTCCCATCCTGATTACTACTGCACTAGTTCGCACCACCAATTATCATTCACCTGCATCACTGTAGTAGCTCCTAATTAATTTATCTGCCTCCAGTCTTCTCCATCTTCCACTCAGGGCTGGATTTCAAAACACAGATCTGTTCAGTTTTCCTGTTGGAAAAGGAGCTAGGAAAAGTCAACTTTTTAGGTGGTTTATACGAGTCTTCATGTTTTGGCCTTTGTTCACTCTGCCCCTTCAGTGTCATCTCTCAGATCCTCTGTCCTTCACAGTCTGGACATGGGAAATCATGACTGAATGGTTCCTCAGATGAAGCCTGCTCTCCCTCACCTTCAGACCTTCACAGCTGCTGCCGTCTGCCCTTGGAGGAAGTCCATCCCAAATGTGCTCATCTCTTCTACCTGTTACTTCAGAAGTCTCCCTCCACCCCAGATCTGGGTTAGGTATCTCCATGTGCACTCTATTTTAATTCCTTGTCTCTTTCACGTATTAGACTATATGCTCCATGAAGGTAGGAGTTTTATGTGTCTTGTTAATTTTTGTATTGGCTTTGTGGTAAAACAGTATCTGTTACATATGGAAATACTCTGAATTTGAGACCATGTTCACACTTGACTATTGAGAAAAAAGAGTTGAGAGCAGAAAACTCAAAATCTTTGGTTTTGACCACCTGTTCCTGAGTTGTTAGAGCACATGGACAGAGGCCGAGCTGTTCCTTCTCAGAATCTTCTTAGAAATGCAGTGTCTCAGGCCTCAATTCAGACTTAGTGAATCAGAGTCTGCATTTTTACAGATCCCCAGGTGTTGAATGGGTGCATTAAAGCGTGAGAAGCCACGCTCTGGTTTATTGGTTATCTGTCCTTTTTTAGCTGCATGTTAAAATCACTTAGGGAACTGATGCTCAGTATTTAATCCTGTGGTCTGGGTCCTGGGCGTCCATGTGTTTGTAATGCTCCCTAGAGGATACTGAAAAGAGCCAGGAATAAGAACCTCACTGTTGTTCAAGTCCTCTTTCAGTTTTAGTCTGATGTTGGAGAAAGCGTCAGTTCATAGTCAGATTTTGAGCTGCTTTTACACTTCCATTCTAAAGCTTAAAAAGTTTAGAGAGTGGTGATATGTAATGAGGCAGGGTGCTAATTGGGGATGTCAGGTTGGCAGATGAGGCCCCTTGAGACCAGCACAGGACATCTCAGACTTTAATGTGCCTATGAGTCACTGGAGGCGTTTGTAAAATGCAGATTTTGTTGAAAGAATCCGAGGTGAGGCCTGAGATTCTGCATTTTTAGGAAGCTTAGATGTATTATAAAACTAATAGAGATGTTAAGTGACATTAATAAAAACAAACTTGTACTTCCTTCTACTTCCTTAGTTTTTCCCTCAGAGTACAGTGGCAACACTTCACAAGCCAAGGGATTCTTTGATTTTTACTGAACAGAAGAAAGGGCATTTACTTGCTGGTGGGACCCAGTACTGGAGTGGTCACTCCCCCGCCCCTGGGGAAGTACAGCACCACCAGAAATAGGCTTTTTGAGCAGCTTTCCTTGTTAAGAGGGGAAACAAACTCTCCCAGGGCCTGCCTTGGGCGGTTGACTTATGGGAAGGAAGAAGACATTGCTTTTGCGCAGAGGGACAAGAGGGCTATATTTTTAGCCATTGTCTTAGAATTCATGCAAGGACTTGTCTGTCATATGGGAGTGTATCCCTTCTTTATAAAAGATTGATCATAGGTCCTACCTTATTGTTATTTTTATTGTGTTATTGTTTTTGGTCATTTTATACCCATTGGATTGACGAGTTCATGTCTTCCCTCCCTTCGCGCACATACATTACTGGTGTTTTAGTGGAATAGTATTTGTAATTAAGATAAATTTTAAATGCAGTCATTACATTACATTACATTGCATTAAATTTTAATGCAAACATTACTTATGCAAATGGTGGGTGCTGCCATTGTAGGTAGACTCTCATCCATTATTCTAATCGCTGTACTTGTGCCAGTAGGGGTGCTATTTCCTTGAGTCATAGGACTGGAGCATTTTTCCAGTATTATGGTAAGGATCTTTTGGTTTCCCCCCCGTCTATTCTTTAAGGACTGTCTATTCATTTTTGTTAAATCTTTTCATCTTGTTCCCTCAGGTTTACAGCAGCTGTTTTAACATGTTTAACTATGTACACTAAGCTGATCTGACAGTTTGCCTCTTATGAGAAGATTTCATATCATTCTGGTAGTACCTCTAGTAGTATGTGATTTTCTGTAATTTGCCACGTTACAAATAAGGATTCTTTAAAGCAATTTGAGTTTTTAGGCCTAACTGAAAGTTGAAGAAGTAAATGATTGCCTCTTGTTTACAATTAAATTTGAAATTAAAAATAGTGAATTTATTTTTAATAAGCACTGATATATTCAAGTGAAAAGCATTTAAGGAAATTGAAATTCTGTCAATTAAAAAAATTATACTGCTTTCTAGTAGAGACCTCCTGTTCTTCAAAAGTAGATTAGTTAAGAATTTTTAAATAATGCATTTGAAACAGGATTTCCTGCCACTGGAATATTTAATTTAGTCCTATTTTGCTAACAGTAGAAATGTGGTTTCAGATACTATATTGTAGACAGATAATGCTAGCACAATAATGTATAGAAAACTACTGAAAGATAATTTTAATTGAAATTCTATATTTTGTTTCTTTACTAATGATAGAGAATGTAAATGTGAAAACTCATGATACAACATTTTAAGTTCTTCAGAAAAGAAATTCTTTGTCAAATCCTAGATCCAATTCTTTGCTTTTAAGCCAGTTTTCAGTCCCTTACAAACTAATTTAAATCCTCCCAGGAATGCACAGCGTCCCTGCCGAAGGTTTTCACGTGGCGATTGATGAAAAGATTTGCTGCAGAATATGCATTCTTTCTAAATACATCTCAGGAACAGGTTAGTATAGAGGTTGGAAACTGAAATAAGTGCATGATCGTCCATATTTTTATCTTATTTTATGTTTGAACTCTTTCCAGAGAGCTTTTGAAAAGACGTCCTCCGCAGAATCACAAATCTGAATCTTTTTCATATAAAAGATTTAAAGTAACTTATATTGAAAACCTTTCTTTAATGAGCTCAAATCTTCGCTTTCATCAGGTTGTGGTCTGTATTACAAGGGGTATTTAGCCAATGAGTAACTTTGTATTGGTAAATTAAATATTTAAATTTCACTAATGCTATTAAAAGTCTTTCAAGGTCTTTGCAGTTGTAAGCGTAATTGTTTTTATCTTTCCTTTTTTTTAAATTGTGGTAAAATATACATAACATAAAATTGACCATTTCAACTATTAAGTACATTTACATTGTTGTGAAACCATCACCGCTTTCCATCTCCAGAACTTTCTCAGCTTCCCAGATTAAAACTACCTTAAGCATAATTCCTCATCTCCCCTTCCTCCCTGACTACCCGACAAGCCCCATTCTACTTTCTATCTGTATGAATTTGACTACTTTAGGTACCTCACAGAAGTGGACTCATACTCTATTCGTCCTTTTGTTGCTGGCTAATTTTCATTTAGCATAATGCCTTCAAAGGTTCATCCACGCTGTTGCCTGTGTCAGAATTCCTTTATTAAGGCTGAATAATATTCCATTGTATGTATATACCAGTTTCTGTTAATCCATTCATTGGTTGAATGATACTAGGTTGCTTCCTTTTCTTTCCTTTTACAGCATAAATTAAAAATACTGATCATATCAGTCCCTTCTGGTGTTTTACAAATAGGAATCCACTATAGAGGGGAGCAAGGGTTTTAAGCCTTGGGACTATTCCTTTCCTCCTTGATTATCAGTGTCGCGTGAGTCTTTGTTTTGCTAGTCCTGCCTGGATATGAGAATAACCTGATCCGCTGGCCAGATGTAAGCTGATACACCACATGAGGCAACTATATTGAGAGATTGAGCTGAGATATGGAAGACTAAGATCTGGGATCTAGGAGTCAGTCTTGTAAGGGAAAGCTTCAAATGCAAATTATGTGCCATAATTGGTTTAACCAATTCTCTCTCTTCTGTTTGTAATTTGCTTTTCTTTGTACATGTTTACACTTACTTACTGGGTGTTTGTATTTCTTTTCTGAATTGTCTGTTCATGTTTATGGTGTATTTTCTGTTCAGTCATTTAGAGTAAAAATTTAAGTATGAAGAAAAAATACTTTAAAATTCAGAAATATAATATTTTCCTTTATTTTAAATTTTTTGTTTATTTCATGTGATTATGCTTTATGCATATTCCAGACACCTGGTTCTTCTTGTTCAAGATCATTTACTCCGGTATCCAAGTAGATTGACTGATTGCAGACTTATTACTGTCGAATGCGTTTGTGTAGAGTGACTTCTTCCTGTCATGCTGGTCTTACTCACACTGCTGTGCTGTAATACAGTGAAGAATTGCATGGCATCGAGTTTTGGATTGCATCTCACAAGTCGTTCTTCTTCCTTTAGAGGACTTGTATTGTACTGTAACTTGCAAATTGAATGTTTGCATAATCAAAATGGAAAGCATGCAGTATAAAAATCAGCTTCCTGTAGTTCCCGAACTAGAGAACTAACATCTAAGCCTAGTTAAGATTTAGTTTAGCTAAATCTTACCTCTGGGTATGGACTCAGTTGGAAACACAGTAAAAAGAAATGGATGTTGATAATGTTTAAAGTATTAGCTCAACCCTTGAGTTTTATGTGAAGGGATAGTTGAGACAATACGATCTCCCATTGCTCTATGAAACAAGGAGATTTTTAAAGTTAAATTGTGATTGGCTTCCAGTTAGGAAGAATGTTCATCTAGAGCCAGTGGTATTTACCAACTGCGCCTGTGAAAACATTCCTTTTTACCCTCAGATGCTCACTCAGCCTTCTGTTTTCCAAGTGACATTATTATAGCCTTTAGTAGTCAGAAAAATTAAAAGCACATTTTTAAAGCATAAAAAGCAGAGTCTCCCTTCAGTTTCACAAAGTTACTATTTTTTATGATAATGCAGATACAGGAGGATTTCTGAAAACTTAGAGAATTTAACTGTTAAATGTCTTTTGACATTTTAAGGACACAAATCCTAGAATTATAAAGCATACGGCCAAGCTTTTTTGTTTTGCTTTGTTGGGCTGCTCAGTAACTTCTGACTTCAATTGGAAAGTGGAAATGTGACCATTTAGGAAGTATTGCGCATTCGTTTTGCTGTGGCTCTTCATTGGCTGAAGCAGCAGTGTAATGACGTCCTCAGCTAGCATATGAATCTGTTGTTTCAAATCGAAGGTTTGATGCCTTCAGTTGGAATACCTCCTTGGAATGCTGAAGGGAGCAAATCTGATTTATTGGCCATTTGTTTACCTGCGAGTCTTTAGTCATTTACTTTATGGATTTTTATGAGGATATTCAAATGTTAGGAATGTTAGAAAACTATATTGGGAATTTAATTGTGCTACTTAGTGGGTTATCAAAGATTTTTTTCCCTTATGTCACACTTTTGTCCCTATCAACTTTCCCCTCCCCCCAAACTGGGACCACAAGTAAATTACTTAACTTTTGAATCTTAGATTTTTAATCTATAAAATGGAGTTGCCTGTTGTGAATTGTCTAACTTAGTGCCTAGTACATAGTAGAAGCTCAATAAATGGTAGTTTCTATTAATACAACTTCTGGTTCTCTGTCTTAGCTAAATGCTTTATTATTTCTTCACCGAATCTATTCCTCTTTTAGAACTTTAAATTACTGTAGTTCAAAGAATACGTTTTACCTAATGTATGTTTTCGGAAATATATGTATATGTTTTGGGAAAATATGTCTGAAAAAGCATCTCTTTGGCCAACCTACATTATGTTAATATGCATCCAGAAAAATTTGCCTCCAAAAATATGTCTATTGAAAATTATCTAGAATCATATTTGAGGGAGTCATTGGAGTTGGAAAGAATTTTACTTTATCTGCCCTCAACTTTACCACCCAGTTTACTCATCATCTCTGCACTAGTGTGCCTCCAAGTTTAGATGCTTACATACTAGGCCATTTCTGCAGAGTGCTTGTTCTAATATTTACTTAGTATTTTTTAAACTTAGCCTTGGCTAAGCAATAATATTTGTGAAATTACAGGTTCAGTATAGTATGTATATTTTTTCTAGTGTATTTTAAAATAACTACGTAACCATTTTGTGTATTATTTAAAATCGCGTTGAATTACCTGTTTATTCATTGTCTAAAGAATCCCTGTCAAGATTATCATCTAGCCTCTAGAAATAGTTTCCTTTCTTTCTCTTTTTTCTCTCTATGTAAACTTGAACATGGTAAATCTTTTTCTTCTGATAGTGAGCTATGGCTTTTTGGTGAACAGGACCCATTATAAATACTTGTTGTATATAGCAAACATGATAGGTTTGAAAACATGGAGAATATTTATTATACATTTTTCATTTTAATGTTTTGAGATCTGCGTGGGGGAAGAGGACTGGAAATGCCACTATTGTATGGGTAGGCTTCCACTCCTTGTTTCTTGTGATTGGCTCCACGCTTGACTGTTACTGATGTCTCTGAGTCAGGCACCTCTTCGGTTCAGTATGCGTAGAGAGTAAAGCATCTCTGTGGGGAGGAGAGAGTTGCCTGACTGTAGGTGGCGGGGTCCAAACCTCCTCGTTCTGTAGGTTTTTCACCTTCCCTCCTGTTTTTGCCCACTCCTCTCCCTTGCTTTTAGGGACTTCTGATACTTCCAGTTCCTAAGCCTTTTCTGCAATTCCTTGGTATGAATTCTTCTTCTCTTTTAGTTGACATGAAGATTTCAGTTTTCTGTGCTCTGCTAAGTCAACAGTTGTCCATCTGCTTTCAGTTTCCCCAAATTTAGCTGTTCTCTCTCATTTTGTTGCCTACAGTTTTGTGCAATTATGTACTAATATGTCTTTAACGTTTCTTCCTTGTCATTTTAGTGATAGAGAATTGACACTAAATATATTCCTTATTTCCCCTGCTAGACTGTGAGTTCCATGAGGCGAGGGCTTGTTTCCATCTTGTTTATTGCTCTATCCCCATTTGCTAACAAAGTGCCTTGAGTATAAATATTTGAAGGAATGATGTATCCACGAGGTTGCTTGTGTAACAACATTTTCTGAAGTGTTTTAATAAGCGCAGTTTCATTTCAACATCACTAAATGTGGCTGTATGAAAATTACACTTTTAATGGTGGGGGAGACTGGAACTCAGAAGGTGGAGGGGCTTGGTCAAGGTTGCGTGGTGGCAGAAACTGCTGCAACTTGCTTGTTCTTAATTGAGATCCTGGGCTTGGTACTGAAAGCTGCTCCCTCTTTGAATTGCTGTAACCAGATCAATATTGAGCTGGCTTTGTGGGCCTTCAAATTATACAAAGAAATACAATAGTTGGGATAATGACATTGATATTGCAGGATATAGCTCTGAAAATATTTTGGAGAAGTTCTGTACTCCTCCAAAGTATTAGTATTAATATTGTTACCATTATATTATGTATGTCATTAGTAAGACTTGTGTTAATTTGTTGAAGAATTTTAGTCCGCATCATAAGAATACTAGTTGTTTTTCCTAAGTACCAAAGAGGAAGATGAATTTGTGTAAGCCCAAATGAGGACAGAGGAGTATTCCCCCCAGAGAGAGCTGCAGAGGAGCTGGACTCTTAAGGCAAGAGCTGGACTTCAGTTAAGGCAAGACGGAGGGATGGAGAATGTGTTTTGAAAAGGTGAGGACTTCATATATTTGTAGAGAGTGTCATTAGAGCTTACACAGTATCTTTTATATATGGTCTTTTGATAATATAAACTGGTCAGTTCATGCTTCATTAAGTTAGTGACAGCCCTAGTGGCACTTCAGTTTATACTCATATCAAAAGGTTCCCAAACTTCCTCAATTCACCATACCCTTGGTGTGCCAGTAATTTTTTCCTGATGCC